TGAAAGTTGGATGGAAAATAGAGTATTTATGTAGTTTCAAAGTATCCTTTCAGAAATTATGTGTTCCTCACAGCAGGAAAGATAGTAAATTTACAGTAGAGAGGTAGCCGGGTGATCAGTTATCACAGCGGGACAAACGAACATCATGTGTGGACTGAGATCACACAGGCGCTAAGGGCTTACATCATTTCTATGGCATTTTTCAAAAGAAGACATAACCCGAAATTAATCCTGAGAACGCATTAGACAAACTCAAATTGAAGGACGCTCTAGAAAATAGCTGGCCTGTATTCTTCCAACATATTCAAGTCACGAAAGCAAAGAAAGATTGAGAAACTGTGGCCGATTCAAGATCCGACAGCTAACTGCAACAGGGGAAACTAGCGACAAAGTACACAGCTGGGATATGCCCACATGCCCGTATGTATCTATAGAGAATAAGACACACTTGGCGGGGCGCCTGGGTGGCTTAGTCGGTTGAGCGTCCGACTTTCGCTCAGGTCATGGTCTCGCGGTTCGTGGGTTCGAGCCCCGCGTCGGGCTCTGTGCTGACTGCCAGCTCGGAGCCTGGAGCCTGTTTCAGAGTCTGTGTCTCCCTCTCTCCCTGACCCTCCCCTGCTCATGCCGTCTCTCTCTCTCAGGAATAAATAAAAAACATAAAAAAAAAAAACACATTTGGCAAAAACGTAAATCACTGGTGAATAAGGATAGAGAGTGCATGGGAGTTCTTTTTACAATTCTGAGCCAGTGTCCCATGACTTTGTTAACCCAGCACAGTGTCCCCTCACGCAAGCTCTTTGGGGACGAAGAACCGGTCTCTGTAAACTGAAGCGAGTGTACATTTGTAGGAGTGAGGGAGCACCGGGCGGTACACCGAGGAGAGCCCTCAGGCCGGGACCGGCGCTGCGGGGCGAGGGCCCTCGGCACCGAAGGGCCACACGGAAGACACCCGGAGGCGCGGAGGGCACGGCTGCGGCGCGGCGAGACCAGGGCTGCGGCTCTGCCCCGAAGCCCAGGCCTGGGCTCGAACGCCGAGCAGCCAGGGGGGCGGGGGGCGCAGCTGCACACGGAGACGGAGCAGGACCCAGTGCCCGCCCTGCGTCGGGGTCCCCGGCGCCTGGTCCCCAGCAGGCGTCGGTCGCGTATTTCTGGCCGGAAAAGGGCCCCGCGCGGGGACCTCGGAGCCGCTGACGCGCTCAGTACGCCGGCGACAGCGCAGGTTTCCCGGGCAACGAGCGCCCGCCCGCGGTCCTGGCGCTCGCGCCCGTGCGTCACTTCCGGCCGAGCGCCGCGTACCCCGCGGCCTGTGGAGAGCTTCCAGTCGCGAGCGTCTCTTCTCGGGTCGCTGGGCTGTCGCGGTGGGGCCGGGATCAGCCAACAGCAAACTCTGACTCTGCGGGAGGAGCTTTTGGGGACGCAGGTGGAGCTTGGCTTCCGTCGCCCGACCAGTCGCTTTTAAATCCGCCCCCTGGGCGCCGCGGTTAAAGGACGCCCAGCGCCTGCCAGATCTGGAGCATGCGCACTGCCCGCCGACGGAGGTTCGGGGAATCCGCTGCTCCGGGATTTCTGCGCAGCCGGTGGGGTTGCAGAGGGGCGGGCCAGGGGCGTGTCGTGAGGGGGCGTGTCGCGCGAGCGACGTCTGTGATTGGTCCGTTGGAAGCCCCGCTAGCCGACCCGCTGTCGACCTCTGGCGGGCTCCGGAGTTTCATTCATTCGCCCGTTCCCTGAATGGATTGATTCACTCCGCCTTCCCCGAGAGTACGTTCTGTCGGAGCTCGTGCTCGGCGCTGGGCGAGTCGGGCTCCAGGAGTCCACGATTTGGCTGGCTCCCTCCTTTGCCACCGTGTCGCTTCTCTTCCCCGCCTTTGCAGAGGGGGGGGGGGACACCCATCCCATCTTCCTGCCGGGACCTCGGCGGAGGGCCCCCTACCCTTCTCCCCCGCCCCCCTGTCCCCCAAAGCAGCACTTGAACGTTGAAAGGCCTGACGCGGGGTCCCGGCCCAGCGCTCAGTGACCGAGCCACTTGCATCACTTTACCATCACCTCGGAGAGTGTAGCTCGTTTCTGTAGGTCGTGAGGTTTAAAAATGAGCTTTGGCGTTTATCTTAGTGTCGATTCCCGGCTTTGCCCCTCATTAGCTCGTGGGGCTAAGACTCGAGGCTGAATAATGCGAAGGTAGAGGGTTTCGTAAACCAAAATCAAGTTTTGGCCTCCAGGTCCAAAGCACCCTGTCGAACCAACACATTGGTAATAAAACTGAGTTGTAAGTATCCGGTGTCTGATTCTGAGTCTTGTTTCTCAATTGTTCCACACTCAGGAAGGGGAAAAAAGGAATGTTATTGCTTAGTCCCCTTAAATCACGATAACCTACCTTGTAAAGTCCTCGTAAGGGTTACATGAACAATTTTGCGACCAGCACGTTGCACATTACCTGCCAGGTAAGTGGTGGCTACTGTGATTTTATTACTTCGAGGAAATTGATGTGAAAGACCGGCTCCAGTGGCTGGTGTTTAGTGATATTAGGTATGTTCTCTTTTCGCTTGGGAGCTAGAGAGGCCAAGTGAGACATGGCACTACAGTGTTTGAGTGACTGCAGGGTAGAATAGAGCCCTGCAAGACAGAAAGGAGGAAGAAACCCTTTATGCTCCTGGGGGATCAGAAATCCTGAGGAGTGATGGACTTGGCCCAAAGTGGGGAGATCATATCACTCAGCCAGAACACTTTTAGGCAGGACAACAGGTATAAACTGGGACTCTTCCTGGCAAACGAAGATACGTGGTCACCCTCCCCCAAAGCCGAAGAAGCAGCATGTGACAGAGTTGAGGGTAAGCCTCAGTCTGCCCCACTGTGTCTCAAAACACTTTCTTATACGTGATTTTATTGAATCCTGATGATCTCCCATGATGTGATCTTCCTCACTTGGTGGATGAAGACGTGTCATGTAGTGAGTGAGTGACTGGGTAGGTGCTCCACCTGCACATGGACTCCTGTTTCAGTGGCAGTTCTCCACGCCACAAAGCCTCTTGAATGTTGGTCCTCATCTTTGGGATGTTTCTGATAAGCCTCAAATTCTGCCTCATTTTCCTGGAGAACTTTCTAATAGAGCTCTTGTATCAGCAAACTTTCCACCTCCTTAGGATTTTTGTAGGAGAGGAGCCAAGATGGTGGAACAGCACAGGTTTTTTTGTGTGTGTGTGTGTGTGCGTCTCACGTCCGGGAATTTTGTAGAGGGGAATCTGGTGTGGGTGAGGTTGGACCTGATTTCTTTAGAGGCTGCTTCCAGTCCAACTTGAATCCAATCTACAGACTACTTGAGGGCAAGTTTTGCTATCTTCTTTGAATTCTGAACATTCAGATGAGACACTCAGGAAATGTTAAAGCTATGAAAGGGGCACAACTTCAGGAGTAAGACAGCCCTGGACTGGTGTGGACACCCCCATGGATCAGTTGAATGCAAGCCCCTACATTCTCTGAGCCCCAGTCTTCTCATTGGCAAATCTCTCTCACAGATTTTCTGGAACAATAAATTAGTATAGGTGAGTACACTTAAATAGGGAAACACTGTACTAAAATAGCAGTGTTTCCTTTTGCCAGCTTTCAGTCTTGCATTTTTATTGCTTGTCTTATTCATTTATAAAGAGAGTAAGAAAAGAGGAAGGCTATGGAAAGAGCACAGGCCATGGAGTCAGACATCCCTGGATTTGAATCCCTAAATAACACCAGCCATTTGTGTAACAGCAGCCAAGTGGTGTGTCCTTTCTGGACGTCAGCACTAAGAATAGCTACCCTGCATGGATCTTAAGACAGTGTGAGCTAAGTAATTGAGCTCTATTCCTGGCACATAGACCTCCACCAAGGGTGGCTTGATAGATGTCTATATTCTTTAACTGTCAACCTGCATTCCTAGTGCCATGGCAGCCACTTTGGGCATCTGTTTGTGTTGTCGTGAAGGCACTCTCGCTCAGTCCCTGCGTGCCTCTGTTGAATACACCTCCTAGCCGTGATATGCTGGAAATCTGCTCTACCTGTTTCCCCTTGAAGATCTGTTCTGCTTATAACTCATTCCTGCTCTTTGGAAAACAATTCAATAAAAACTCAATTGGTTTTCCACCGGCCCTGGGCAAGGATGAGGGATGGCATATTATTATTTTATAGAAAATATGAATAATAAAGTAAGTCATAAAACAGCACTAGGCACATAGCAAAGAGCCAATAAATGCTTGCTGGCTAAAAGCAAACATGATGGCTCAGGCTTTTCATGGCTGCTGTACTTGCTGAGGGGACCATTCTTGTCTTCCATTACATTAAAAAAATAATAATTAAATTTAAGTAGGCTTCATCCCCAGCTGGGAGCCCAGTGTAAGGACTGAACTCAGGACCCTGACATCAAGATCTGAGCTGAGATCGAGAGTCCAAGGTTTAACTGCCTGAGCCACCCAGGTGTCCCTAAAAAACATTTTTTAATTGAAAAAGAAATACAAACGTATGGCGAAATATGTAAACAGAACACAAAGATACCCAAGGGAAAGAGGGTCTCCCTCCACCACCCTCTGTTCTCGAAGCCCTCTCTGGAGATGCCACTCTTAACAATTCTTTGTAGATCTTCCCAAACACCCTGTGGGTGCTCTAAGGTAAGTATGTAAATTCCTAGAGCAGTTTAAATCCTCCAGCGGCTTCTGCCTTCGGGAACAGCGGTCCCCGCCCCCTCCCCCTGGGGCCTGGTGGTGGTGGGGGGCCTGGGTGTGGACGGATTGCTGGGGCCCTCCAGGCAGGGAGAGGTTCCACCACGGGGGATGCGGACCGGCTCTGGCTCTGACCCTCCGCTTCGCGCCCCTGCCGGGTAGGACGCCGAGACCGCGCGTGCCTCAGTTTCCAAGCCTGCAAAAGGGGAACTTCTACATGCAACAGGTAGTTCTGAACATCAGTGATCGCTCCTGTGGGTGCCTGGTCCCCGGGGCGGCGGGGAGCCTGGCAGGGGGAGGGGGCGGCGGGCTGACACTTTAGGGGTCCTGCCGGGGCGCGCCTTGAGGGGTTACAAAGCGGCGCTGAGACAGGGCAAGGCCCTCCTCCGAGGTGTGGCGCCTCGGGAGCCGAGGCGTCCGCAGTCCCTTCCCTCCGCTCCCCTCCTCTCTCCTCTCCCCTCCCCGTTGTCCTCTGCGTCTCTCGTAAAACCCGGAGCGGAGCGCCGGCCCGGACTGGCCCCGCGCATGCGCAGGAGGGTGCCGGCGCGGCCGCCGGTAAGGAAGCGCCAGCTCCGAGTAGGGGGAGCGGCCGCAGAGGCTGCTCGGCCCCGCCGCCCGCCAGGCCGTTGGCTCCTGCTCCCGGCCCGGGGCGCCGGCTGTGTAAGTGCGAGGTGGGGGGCTCCGGGCCGCGGTTCGGCCGGCTGCGGGAGGGCTGCCTGTGCGTGGCGGCCAGCGAGCGCGCGAGTCAGCCCGCACCTGCCGGGGCCGGGGTCCCAACCGCTCCCGCCCCCGCCCCCGACCCCGCCGGCGACCCGGCCCGGCCCCCGCGGCACCCCCGTCCCGGGCCGCGTCCGCACCTGCCGCCCTGGGGTGCCGGCCCCTGCTCTGCGCGGCGGCGGCCCCTCCGCTCCTGCGCCTGCCGCGTCCCGGTTCCCGGGCCGGGTGGGGTCGGGGGACCCCCGGCGGGCGCCGGCCCGTCTCCCCGCTGGGCGCCTGGCCGGCCCGGGGCCTCAGTCCTGCGCCTGCCGCCCTCGCTCCGCCCGGGGTGGAAGGTGCCTCGAGTGAGCTCGGCGGCCGCAGGCGCTGTGTCCCGGGCTGCGATCCGCGCGGGGTCGGCTCCAGCTGAGCCCCCCGGGGGCGCGGGGACAGACGCGTGCCCGCGCTGTGCTTCTGCGCTCGGCTCCCTCTTGGGACCCGCCAGCACAGATGTCCTTTAACCCACGGGTTTCTGGTGTTCAGATAGGGTGCTTGTTGAGTCCCCATGGTTTTTATAGGGAGAGGGATTAAAATGTTGAAAGCAGGGCTAGATTCAGTTTACACTGAGCTGAAGGCATGGGGCTGTGACATCCTCCCCTCCCCCTCCCCCCCCTCCAGTTTAAACTAGTGACTGTCAATTTTTGAAAAATAGTTCCAGTCAATTGCTAATCCAGCCCAGCTAGTACTTGTGAACCTGACACAGCGGCATTGGAGACCTGATGTTGGAGACCCGGGAATACTATCACAGTGAAGATATCCTGGCAGGGTTCTGTTGGTTTTTCTTTTTTCTTTTCTTTTTTTTTTCCAAAAAAAATTTTTAAATGTTTTATTTATTTATTTATTGAGAGAGAGACAGACAGCGTGAGCAGGGGAGGGTCAGAGAGAGAGAGGGAGACACAGAATCCGAAGCAGGCCCTAGGCTCTGAGCTGTCAGCACAGAGCCTTATGCAGGGCTTGAACCCGCTAACTGTCAGATCATGACCTGAGCCAAAGTCAGATGCTTAATGGATGGAGCCACCCAGGTGTCACTGTTTGTTTTTCTTAAATGGTGTGGCAGACTGGTAGTATAGATGGAAAAATAGTTATCAAGAAATAGAATTACTGATTTTTTATTTTATTTTAGTATTGAAAATTTTTTTAATGATTTTTTTAAATGTTTTATTTATTTCTAGGAGAGAGAGAGAGACAGCATGAGCAGGGGAGGGTCAGAGAGAGAGGGAGTCACAGACTGAAACAGGCTCCAGGCTCTGAGCTGGCAGTCAGCACAGAGCCCGACGCGGGGCTCGAACCCACGAACCGCGAGATCATGACCTAAGCGAAAGTCGGACGCTTAACCGACTAAGCCACCCAGGCGCCCCAATATTTAAATTTTTTAAGTGTTTTGTTTTCGAGAGAGAGGGAGACATAGGATCCTAAGTGGGGGAGGGGCAGAGACAGAGGGAGACACAGAATCTGAAGCAGCTCCAGGCTCCATGCTGTCAGCACTGAGCCCCACGTGGGGCTCCAACTCACGAACTGTGAGATCATGACCTGAGCCGAAGTCAGATGCTCAACCGATTGAGCCACCCAGGCACCCCAAGAAATATAATTTTTCAAATAACCGCTTTATTGAGCTATCACTCACATACCACAAAATCCACCCGTTTAAAATGTGCAGTCACGTGGTTCTAGTATATTCACAGTCGTGCAACTGTCATCGTACCAGAATGTTTTTATCGGTTCAAAAAGAACTCCTTTCTCCTTGGTAGTGGCTTCTTCTCTGGTCCTGCAGCCCCTAGTTTACTTTCTGTCTCCACGGATTTGCATGTTGTGGACATTTCCGTATGCATGGGGTCATACAGTGTGTGGCCTTTTGTGATTGGCTTCTTTCACGTAGCATCATGTCTTCAAGGTTCCTTCGTATGTTAGCGGCATCACCGGTACTATGTTCCCTCTTATGGCTGAGTAATAGCCTGTTGTCGGATGGAGCACATTTTGTTTATCCCTTCCTCAGTTGACGGACAGTGGTGGCATTTCCATTTTTTGACAATTAAGAATAAGGCTGCTGTGAACATTTGTGGACAAGTTTTTGTGTGGACGTATGTTTCCAAATCTTTTTGGTACGTACCTAGGGTAGAATTGCTTTTGGTAAGGTAGCTTTATGTTTAGCTTTTGGGGTAACTACCATGTTGAAGAAATATATTTTTGACGTTTTAATATTGTATTTGATGAGTCTCAGACACAACAACTGGGTCATTGCCAGGCCTTCTTTACTTCTTTAGCTTCTCCCTTGAAGACACCAGTGGGAAAGCGTGAACCCTGGCACCTGGCTCTGGCTGGTCACTTACCCATTAGGAGACCGTGAGCAGAATGACTGAGTCTTACCCCATCTGTAGGATTGAAGGTGGTAATACTTATTTCTTAGGATTGATGGGAAGTCTAAATAGGGCACATTATAGAGACTCCAGTGGATTTCCTTTCTCCAGCTTGTGTGATACCAGATTCCTCCTGTGTTAGATGCGTCTTTTGAATTTGGGGCACAAGTGAACGAGAAGCTTGCTGACCCTGAGCCGTCTCAGGGATCACCCTTGCATGAGGCCACTGTAAGGTTTATGGACCTGTGGCGTGGATTTTATTGCTGGCGTCTTTTAGTGCCTTGTTAGAACTGGAAGGGACCCAGTGGGATCATTTGATTCAGGGTGACTTAGTCGTTTAGATTTCGTAGACTTGTAAATTCCGAAAAACTGGGGGTCAAAAATAGAGATGTCAGTTTTAATTTTTGCCTAGGTAGGACAATGGAAGAAAAACCACCATCTAGTCTCACCAGCATTTTATAAAAGCCAGGATGTTTTAATGCCAAAAAACGTGGAAGTTCATTACCTAAACATCAATTACGATAGTAGTGAGTCTTTATAAAGCGCTTACTAAGTTTATGTAAGTTTACTTCAGGCTAGGGAGACGGAACACCTGTCAGAGACCCGTGTCCAGGACCCCCGTCCACCCATCTTCAGGCAGATCTGCGTCTGTAACACACTTGCCTCTATCGTGTCTCAGTTTTCTCGCTCAGAGAAGGTCTTGCAGGACCAGCAACATTACCTGCTGACAGACGACAGGTGCAGACGCTTGGCTCTGACGCTAGTTGACCTGGGGACGCCTGGGTGGCTCAGTTGGTTGAGCATCTGACTCGATTTAGGCTCGGGTCTTGGTCTCAGATTTGTGAGATCGAGCCCTCCTTTGGGCTTGGGCTCCGTGAAGAGCCTGTTTGAGATTCTCTCTCCCCTTCTCTCTCTGTTCCTCCCCTATCTCTAAAATAAGAACCCCCCCAAAAAAAAACTCAAAAACACCCAAAACTAGTTAACCTGATGACGAGTAGGCTGTAAGCTCCTTGAAGTTGTACCTTCTCCCACCCCCTTTTTTTTTTTAGCTCTTTAAAGAATTTTAAAACACAGACTCTAGCAAAAATATATGTAATGTGTACGTACAGTTTAAAGAATGGCAAAACTCATGTCCCCGTGGCTGGCATTCAGCTTAAGAAATGGGACAGAACCACTACAGAAGCCTATGTCTTTTTCAAACTACATTCCTCTCTGCCATGCAAGTAACCACTCCCCAAATTTATTTTTCTTTATAGTTTTACCATGTATGTAAATATCCCTAAACAACATATTGTTTTGCCTGGTTTTGAATTTTTATGTAAGTGGGGGAGAATTCTACTCCTTGCATTAATCCACAACTTTATTTACCCATCGTGTTGTTGAGATTCAACCATGTTCCTGCAGTGTAGCTGTGGGTCATTCATATTCACTGTTCTGTAGTATTGCATCATGTTAAAAGACTATGGTTTATTTATCCATTCTCCTGACAGTGGACATTTGTGTTGTTTTTGGTTCTGGCTTCTGAGAACCTTTCTTTATGTCTCCTGCCATCCGTAGGCCAGGGCTGCTCTTGCTGGGAAATTCCTGGGCCTAGGATGTACCAGCCTGTATACCCACTATCATATAGGAGGGTTATTTTTCTGTAAAAAGTTTTTTTTCTAACGTTATTTAATTTTGAGAGAGAGAGAGAGAGAGAGAGAGAGACAGACGGACAGACAGACAGAGCATGAGCAGGGCAGGGGCAGAGAGAGAGGGAGACACAGAATCCGAAGCGGGCTCCAGGCTCTGGGCTGCCAGCTCAGAGCCCAGTGTGGGGCTTGAATCCATGAACTGTGAGATCATGACCAGGGCTGAAGTCAGGTGCTTAAGTGACTGAGCCAGCCAGGTACCCCAATGAATAGTATATCTATACCATGGACTAGTACTCAGCATTCAAAAAGAAGGAAATTTTGACCCTTGCTACAACATGGATGAGCCCCAAATACATTCTGCTAAGTGAAACAGACTAATCACATAAGGACACAGAGTGTATGGTTCTACTTACATGAGGGACCCAGAGCTGCTAAGTTCATAGAGACAGTGGGTCACCTGGGTGGCTCAGTTGGTTAAGTGACTGACTTCGGCTCAGGTCATGATCTATGGTCTGTGAGTTTGAGCCCCGCGTCGGGCTCTGTGCTAACAGCTCAGAGCCTGGAGCCTGCTTCGGATTCTGTGTCTCCCTCTCTCTCTGCCCCTTTCCCCTCTTCATGCTCTGTCTCTCTCTCTCTCAAAAATGAATAAACATTAAAAAAATTCACAGAAACAGAAAGAATGGTGATGGGGGTGGGGGAACGTTGTTCACAGAGTACAGAGTGTCAGGTGGGAAGATGGAAGAATTCTAGAGGCAGTTACACAACTATGTGAATATGCTTCATGCCATGGTGGTAAATGCATGTGTTTTACCACAATAAAATTTTATTTTGTCCATTTATGTTGGACGTGAAATGTCTATCACTGTGGCTTTCATTTGCCTTTTCCTGATTGCACTGAGGTGGGGCATCTTTCTTTACATGGCTTGGCTGTTAGAATTTCCTCTTTATAGATACCGATTTGAGCATTTTTCCCATATTCTGCTTGGGTTATGTGTCTCTCTTACACATGGATTACCCGTTGTCTCGCTATCATTTATTGGGGAGCCCGTCCCTTCCTACTGCCCTGCAATGGCACCTCCACCATATTTCCAGTGACCCCGTACGTGTGGGTCTGGTTCTGGGTGTGATCACAGTCCATCTTTCTTTTCAGCCCTGTGCCAGGCCTGTGCTGACTGTAGTCTTTTTTCCCGTCCACAGATTTATTGAAATGTAATTCATACACTGTACAATTCACCCATTTAAATCTACAGTTTAGTGGTTTTTAGTGTGTTCACAGAGCTGTGTGGCCACCGCCAGTGATAGAACTTTCATCAGCCCCCAGAGAAACCCTGAGTCCTGTCAGCAGATGTGGTTGTGTGTGGTCTTGCTTTTGGGTGGGAGACAAATGCCCCCCCTCAGTGGCGGTGAGTCCCCAGAAGTTTCCTGGCTGTTCCTGACTGTAAGTCACCTTGTTATATTCCACGAAAAATCTGGTAGGAAGTCTGATCAGAGGAGCATTGAATCTATATATCGAGTTGGGGAGGATTAACATCTTTCTTCTCTTCGTACTCCTGAAGATGTCTGGGACCCTGTCTTTCCCTCTGTCCGGAGCCTGGCACGCGGGAAATCCTCACTAAATGTTGGGTATGCGAATGATGCACTTTTATGCATCATTAATTTCAACCCGAGCCTCTGACAAAAACGAAAACAACCTTTGTGAAACTATGCGACTCGTGGTCACATAGCCTGACAGCCAGGGACACACTCGGGGGACCTGTGCCAGCCTTCACCGTCCCCCGCCACCCAGTGGGCTAGCAGCATCCTTTCTGCTGCTAATGTGTGTTACGTGGCCGCTTTGAATTTCATGAATTCGCTCTTACCCGTAGGTGGCTTTTCTTAGGTGGGCTGAGGCGTCGCGTGTGCACGTGTTAACAGGGTCTGTGTTTGGGAGAGCGCGTGCCTTGTGTGGTGCCCCTGCGGAAGCTGGGAACGCCACAGCGGAGGCTGGAGCTTCCGTTGTGACTCAGGATTCTCAGCTTCTGTAACCTGTGAGCCCCTGAGTTTGGGTGCGAACATATTGAATGACTTGGTGACACTCTCTGCGCAGGACTGGGGAGAGAAGGCCTGGGTGCTTGTCCTCCATCGTTTCTTCTTTCCCCTGGGCTCGTGGGCGTTCGTGCTCCGCGGTGCGCGGGGCTTGCAGGTGCTGCTGCGACGTGGTGCTTGTCTGTAAGGCCTGCCTGCAGCCGCCTGGGACCTCCCTTTGTCTCTGCCTGGTGAAGGCCTGGACCAGATAAGTGTTTTGCTGTTGCTTTTATTTTATTTACTTATTTTTAAATCTTTATTTATTTTTGAGAGAGAGAGAGAGAGAGAGAGAGAGAGAGAGAGAGCATGAGTGGGGGAGGGGCAGAAAGAGAAGGAGACACAGAATCCGGAACAAGCTCCAGGCTCTGAGCTGTCAGCACAGAGCCCGACGCGGGGCTCGAACCTACGATCCGTGAGATCCTGACCTGAGCCAAAGTCGGACGCTTAACCGAATGAGCCCCCAGGTGCCCCTGCTGTTTTTTTTTTTTTTTTTAATGTTTTATTTATTTCTGAGAGAGAGAAAGACAGCGTGAGCAGTGGAGGGTCAGAGAGAGAGGGAGATACAGAATATGAAGCAGGCTCCAGGCTCTGAGCTAGCTGTCAGCACAGAGCCCAACACGGGGCTTGAACCCATGAACTGTGAGATCCTGACCTGAGCCAAAGTCGGATGCTTAACCGACTGAGCCACCCAGGTGCCCCTGCTGTTGCATTTAAAGCCCTGCCTCCTTTTGAGAAACACAAAATCTTAAATCTCCACCTTCAGCCCCGGCCCTTGAGGGTTTGAGGGGTCTCCCAGGGGCAGCTGTGCCTCTCTGTTCTTTCCGAGGCAGCGTGGAAGAGAATGTTCAGAGAACAGCTGCTGGGAGGGGCGACGGGTGGGGCAGCATGGTGGGTGCTGTGGGGCTCAGGCTCAAACGCTGCCTCTCAGGGGGCCTCTCTTTGCGTCAGGTCCATCACCAGTAAAGTTGTGGTGGTGTTACAGGGAGGTTTAAGTGAGATACTACACATATAAACCGTTTATGTCCTAGGTAGACTGGAGTTCAAAGCCAGGTCTTCTGATTACGCTGTGGTTCTTTTTTTTTTTTTTTTTTTAATTTTAGTGTTTATTTATATATCAGAGAGAGAGAGAACTTGAAGGGGGCAGAGAGAGAGGGAGACGTAGAATCGGAAGCAGGCTCCAGGCTGCACGCTCTCAGCCCAGAGACCGACGTGGGGCTTGACCCTACAAATTGCGAGATCATGCCCTGAGCTGAAGTCAGACACTTAACTGACTGAGCCGCCAGGTGCCCGGACTTCGCTGTGGTTATTTTCATTATGTCCCGCAGAGGGGACGAGGGAGCAGTTTCGTCGTTCAGTGAACGTTTTTGAGTGCTGTCCGTCCGGCGGCACCTGGCCTGGTGTTGGAAATAGAACGCTTTTTCTGCAGGACCTCAAAGCCGAGGCTGGGAGCCGCGGTGCTGTGATGAGAGGCACGGGGGCCGCGTGCTGGAGTCCGAGGACAGATTGTAGCCCACGGCTTTGCGTGGGGCTCACCCTGCGCCTCGGTGGTGAGGGTCGGAACCACCCCAATCCCAGGGTGGGCTGGCGCCTTCAAAACCCGTGCACCTCATAGTCCCCTTCCTGTCTTTGGGCAGGGCCTCCACCATGAGCGTCCCCGACTACATGCAGTGCGCTGAGGACCACCAGAGCCTCCTCGTGGCCGTGCAGCCGGTGGGCGTCGTCTCGGAGGAGAACTTCTTTCGGATCTACAAGAGGATCTCCTCCGTCAGCCAGATCAGCGTGCGGGACTCCCAGCGGGTGCTCTACATCCGCTACCGGCACCACTACCCCCCCGAGAACAACGAGTGGGGTGACTTCCAGACCCATCGCAAGGTCGTGGGCCTCATCACCATCACGGACTGCTTCTCGGCCAAGGACTGGCCGCAGACCTTCGAGAAGTTCCACGTGCAGAAGGAGATCTACGGCTCCACGCTCTACGACTCCCGCCTCTTTGTCTTTGGGCTGCAGGGAGAGATCACGGAGCAGCCGCGCACCGACGTGGCCTTCTACCCCAACTACGAGGACTGTGAGGCGGTGGAGAAGAGGATCGAGGACTTCATCGAATCCCTCTTCATTGTGCTTGAGTCCAAGCGGCTGGACAGGGCCACAGACAAGTCCGGGGATAAGATCCCGCTTCTCTGTGTCCCGTTTGAGAAAAAGGACTTTGTGGGACTGGACACAGATAGTAGGTAAGTTTACCCAGGGGCCCAGAGGCTTCGCGCTCGGGCTGCTTCCGGACATCAAGAAGGGATAAACAGATGGTACAGTTTTATTGCAGCGGGGGGTGGATGGGTGCAGTCCGCGGTTTTCAGACCTGTAAAAATGGGTCAGCTTTTGGTTAAGGGAAATCCTTTCAGGGTTAGTGTGTACACTTACTCCCCTGTTTCAAAGGGGACTCCTGGTGGGAACCCTGAGCCGCTGTCCAACATGGGGGACACTTGGCTCTTGAACCCCAGAGAGGTGGCCAGTGTGAGCTGAGTTGTGCTGTAAGTAAAATGCACACCACGTACTGAGACTTCGTATGGAAAAAAGAGAGGATCTCATTAATGTATTTTTTTAATTTTTTTAAATGTTTATTTATCGTTGAATCGAAGAGAGACAGAAAGCACTAGTAGGGGAGGGGCAGAGGGAGGCAGGGAGAGAGTATCCAAAGTGGGCTCTGCTGTCAGCACAGAGCCTGACATGGGGCTTGAAGTCACAAACCGTGAGATTATGATGTGAACTGAAGTCGGATGCTTAACCAACTGAACCTCCCAGGTGCCTATTAATAGTTTATACATGTCAAATGATAATATTTTACATATATTAGGTTAACAAAATATTAAATTCAGTTTCAGTAGTTTTTTAGTTTTTACTTTTTTTTTTTTAATATTTTTATTTATTTCTAGGAGAGAGAGAGAGAGACAGCATGAGCAGGGGAGGGTCAGAGAGAGAGGGAGACGCAGACTCTGAAACAGGCTCCAGGCTCTGAGCTGGCAGTCAGCACAGAGCCCGACGCGGGGCTCGAACCCACGAACCGCGAGATCATGACCTAAGCGAAAGTCGGTTGCTTAACCGACTAAGCCACCTAGGCGCCCCTAGTTTTTACTTTTTTAAAAACGTTCATTTACTTTTGAGAGAGAGTGAGAGAGCGAGCGAGCGAGCATGAGTAGGGGAGGAACAGAGAGAGGGGGAGACACAGAATCTGAAACAGGCTCCAGGCTCCGAGCTGTCAGCCCAAAGCCCGTCGTGGGGCTCGAACCCACAAACTATGAGGTCATGACCTGAGCTGAAGTCGGACACTTAACCCACTGAGCCCCCCAGGCGCCCTGGTTTTTTACTTTTTAAACTGTGACAATTGAAAATTTTATTTTCCTGGCTCGCATTTTATTCCTGTTGGACAGCACTGCATTAGTGCCTGGTTAGAAACTGTTGCTCAGTCTCATCCCTTTGATTTATCGCTGAGGCGCTGAAGCAGAAGCAGGAGAGGCGGCCGAGCTCGGAGCGCGCTGAGCGGAGCGGGAAAGGAGCCCCAGCCGCCCAGACTGGGCGTGGCCCACGCGTCGGGTCCCTTCGTCCTGCCTGACACCCGACAGCCACAGCGCCCGACTCCTCACAGTCCGCCGAGGCAAGCGTCAGGGTGTCAGAGCACCACCAGGACTTCCCAAAGAGCCCTTTGTACAGATGAAAGTGTGCTCACATTCTCTGTTTTAGAGGGGGCGTTGGACAGAGCAGGGAAGGATCAGCCTCACTGTCCCCTGAGACTCACTCAGCACCCGAACTTCGCCCCAGCGCTGTTGCAGGTTAGCTCTCCTGCGCTGTTTGTTCCCCTCTCTGGGCCCTGCTCTGCCTCCCCGCGCTGCGGCCCCTGTGGCGTCCGTGTGCACAAGGGGATGACGTGGGATATGCTTTGCGTAGAGGAGGTGCCCTTTAGTGAGGGGCAGTGTCGGCTTCGCGGCCTTGGGCACTGAGTCTCTCAGTCCCCTTCTTCTTCTTCTTTTAATATTTATTTTTGAGAGAAGGAGAGAGAAAGCTAGCAGGGGAGGGGCAGAGACAGAGGGAGATGGAGGATCCAGAGCCATCCAAAGCGGGCTCTGCTCTGACAGCAGTGAGTCCGATGTGGGCCTCAAACTCATGAACTGTGAGATCATGGCCTGAGCCAAAGTCAGACTGAGCCACGCAGGTTCCCCTTCTTCTTCTTCTTTTAAAGTTTATTTATTTGGAGAGAGAGAGAGAGAGAGAGAGCGAGCGAGCAAGAGAGCGTGTACACCCAAGCGGGGAGGGGCAGAGAGAGGAGAGAGTGAGAATCCCAAGCAGGTTCTGTGCTGTCAGCACAGAGCCCGACGCGGGGCTCGATCCCATGAACTGTGATGTCACGACCTGAGCCGAGATCACGAATCAGATGCCTCACTGACTTGAGCCACCCAGGTGCCCCTGTCTGTCCCTTTCTGCAGATTGTGGATGAGGATCTCCCAAGCGAGGCTTGAGTGACCCAGTGTGTGTGCGGGCAGAGTGTGCTCGCTGCAGAGTAGGTGGGCAGTAAGTCTCCTGACTTCACCTAAGGTCAAACACTGCCTTTCTGCTTGTTGGTAAGTTGGAGGAGAAATTGTCACAGACCTGAGAACACCAGGCCCCAGGCTGGCCCTGGGAGTGGGGAGCGCAGAGTAGCCCAGGCCCCACCTGGTACTTTGCAGGGCCTGGAGTGGTTTCATTTCCTGGCCACGCATGTTTACGTGGCCTCAGGGAAGGGCCAGGCATGATACATCGTGACCTATAGTCAGTCCTCGCAGTGGCCATGTGGTCTACTTGCTGCTGCTCCCCTTTTACGCCTCGGGGCTGGGGTGGCAAGGGGTAGGAGCCGGGCAGCCGTGAGGGGCCGAGCCATGGTGCGCACCGAGCCCCCCCCCCCACAGTGGTCCTTGGTGGGGCGGGCGCCCTGGCCGCTGTCCCTTAGCACACAGGCTGCCCCGCGCACACAGCCCCTGCGTCCCTGGCTGCAGCGGCCTGCGGCCTGGGCACAGACTGGCTTGTCCCTGCCGCCCGGACCAGCTGGGGCACGGCTGAGGCCTCAGGGGCAGCTGGGAGCCCCACTCTGACCCTCGACCTGGGCGTTCTCCTTTGCTACACTAGGCGCCGGTGACATATTCTAGTCCTCGACTTCTTGGCTTTGAGGTTGCAGGCCCACCAGAGAATGCCAGCTTGTTCTTGCCCTTTGAAATCTGTGCTCACAGTTCAGAGGGAGTGACAGGGCTGTGTAGGGACACTGCCTGGCACGTACCGGGCAACAATATCAACAGGCATTTAGTGAGAGCCTCCGAGTGCCACGCGTGACTCCAGGCCCCGGAAACGCAGCAGTGAATTGAACTGGCCTCCCGGTGGTCCGTTCTGTTCCCGGTGCTGTAAACACAGCTCTCTTTCGACCTTAAATCAAATACATTTCTCCTTAGTCCGCTTAGCACTGCTGCTCCCATACTCTACAGAGCGGGCTCTGCTCCTGCAGCTCTTCGTGGGAGGGCCCAGCTGAACTGCCATGGTTTGCAGCTCACAAGGACGTGTCTAGATGAAGGCCAAGTTTGGGTTGGTGCACTGGCCACACCGATAGGCCCCGGGGCCGATTTGGCTAAGTGCAGGCCCCTCACTTCCCGGTCCCGCGGGGTGCGGGGGTCTTACTTGAACGTCACGTGTGCCCCTGGCCTCCTGGAAGCCTGTGGTAGATTCCTGGACGCTCAGTGTTGTAGCTCTCAAAGTTATTTTTGTTCTTGTGTGTTTCTAATTTTTGCTTGTTCCTCTTTCTTTTCTTTTCCTTTTTTTCTTTCTGTCATACCGCCCTGTGAGTATGTTGTTGGGTCTGAAAAGGTAGGCTGTGAACACATTGCATTGAAAACAGCTCGATTTCCCTGTGTGCTGCCTCCTCACTGCCTTTACCGCTTTTTACCAAAATTTACTGCTGCCTGGATCTGTATATTACCCTGGTCATCTTTTTATTTTTGAATTTAAATTTTTTTTTTTTTTTTTGCTGTTTTTAGCACGTAACCCATTGGTGTTTGATATCGGTTATAAAAATACTTGCTTTGGGGAACTTGTTTGGTATTACTTTGCATTTGGCGACAAATGAGCCCCAATTCATCTTTTCTGTTGGTTTTGAGGAAGTGAGACGCTAATTGATTTGGGCGGCTTCGCGGGTGCCTCTTAACCTGGGAAGCCTCAGACTGCAGCGCCTCGCTCCTTTCAGGCATTGGAACGAGCATATCGGGCACGCGTTCCCTGGCTGTCACTGTGTGATGTGCATGGTGGTGCTTTGGCGCCCGGCGGTCACCGATGCGGGGCTGCCAGCGTGCGAGCGTGAGGGCCACGGAGGGGTGCTGTGGGGGGGGGGGCACGGTTGCCAGCCGCCTTCTGCCTTCCCTGCAGCATGCCGCTTACCTCACTTCTTAGCAGCCTCCCCTCGTAAGAGGGCAGAGATGTCCAACAGTCTGCGCGGGTCTCCTGCCCCCTTTATGACGGTGACTCTTCTAAGCGTTAGGAAAACGTGGCCTTCTCAATAGCCAGTTCGTTTGCATCTTGTGGACACAAGGACCTCTGCAGTTGACCGTAGTTGACTTTCTGCGTTAGCCAGTAAGCATGCGGACAGGCCGTGGTGTTCACCTGAGCGGTTGTACGGGCCCTTACCTGTACCAGCCTTTACTCTTAATGTTTATTTTTGAGAGAGAGAGAGAGAGAGAGAGAGAGAGAGAGAGAGAGAGAGAGAGGGAGACACAGAATCTGAAGCAGCTCCAGGCTCTGTGCTGTCAGCACAGAGCCTGACTTGAACTCATGACCCATGAGATCATGACCTGAGCTGAAGTCAGACACTTAACCCACCAAGCCCTCCAGGCGCGCCCCCAGCCTTTATTCCTAGTGAAACCCTGTGTTGGTGAGAGCCATTTCTGTTTGTTGAGGCCAGTGTCTGTCACGGACGGGAGTGTCGTCACTTTGCCGCGGCCGGACTCCGACAGTTAACCAGGCTCAGTCCCAGAGAATCTTGGGCTGACCTGGCTCCTTGTGTCTCCCCTGGCCCAGCTCCCCCGTGGGGCAGGGCTTTGCTGCTACCGCCGTGCTGGCCAGGACGCCCTGTTTTCTTCTATAATCCTCTGGTCTGAACGGGAATACCTTTGTCCTTCACTGACTTTGCCTCAACTGAGACTGGCTGGACCTTCAGAAAGATTCCATCGTGTTCTGGGGTGGGGGCTGAGGCAGAAGCGCAGTGTAGCGGGTATGAGAAATTGAAGGTGGCCACATTCAGAAAGGCAGGGCCAGGGTGCTGCGATGGCCGGGTTGTGGCTGGGCCACAGGACCTGGCCCGCTGCTCCCTAGGCCCCAGTGGACGGGTGTAAGGGTAGCCGGGCCTGGCTTCCTCCCTTCTCCCCTTCTCCCCTCTGGCAGGCAGGCCTACTCAGCGGGAGCCCTTCTAGGCCTCAGACCCTTCAAAGTGCAGACGATGGCAGAGCCATGAGCCTCTTTTTCTGGGCCTCCTGTGTGAGACCTGGGTGCCTTCCCACAGTGTCCGTGCCAGGAGAACCCTCCCTCTCTTCAGAGGGCTGTGACGCTCGGCACACACTTGCCGTGAGCCTGCTGTGTCCTGTGGAGCAAAGTTGAGGTATGCTTAGGGACGGAAATGTCACGGCTTGTCACTGATCATGGTGCGTTGGCAGGGTGAGGAAAAGAGGAAATCAAGTGAGAAAGTCAGGGTTTGGACCTGAACGACGGGGTGTGTGGTGGGGCCGTCTGCTGGGGGGGACTGGGTACCCAAGGGGGTCAAATTCCAGAGTACACATTGGACGTGTTTTTACTTGACTATACTCGTTCGACGTTCAAGTGACCGAGGCAAAGAGGCAGTTGGATTTATGAGCCTGGAGTGCAGGTGACAGAGTGGACTGGAGAGACTCCCTGGGCGGGGTCCATGTGTGGCTTGCATTTAGAACCGAGGGTGTGGGTGGGCTCACCTAGCGAGGTGTAGACTGGGGCCGGAGGAGGGGCCGGGCTGTGACCAGTGGGCTGGAGGAAGGCCCGTCGTGGAGGTTAGTACGCATCATTCCCAGGAGGCTGGGATTTTAGGAGCCGGCGCCATTGATCTTCAAAGTGCTGGCGGGCAGGGCAGCTGCTGGGGAAATCCAAGGGGGCTGGTGTGCTGGCCCCGCACCCCGGGAAGACAGCTTCTGCGGCGGGAGGGCGGGAGGAGCCCCCGGGAGCCAGAGTCCCATGGTGGGGGCCGGACGAAGCGTGCTGGACCTAGAGGGAGGCCGCAGAGCCCCGAGGAGTGGGGGAGCCCCCGCCTCCTGGTCTGTCCCGTGGAGCAGGAGGCACAGTGGGTAGGGCCCTGGGGGCATTGGGAGCCGGAGCTGACTTGTATGATCGGTGGATAGTTCTGGAATAGTCTCTCCCCACAAAAGACCTGAGAAGACTCCTGCGTACATTGATAGTTACTTTGGAGGAAGCAGTTCAGCCTTGATCCTTCTACGGCTTAGGCACTATCTGCGGGTTCGGAGAGTGAGGGTCTGTCACAGGGCTTCTGCCAGGAGGGGGGGGACATGCCAGTTTACGACGGGAAAGGGGCGGGGAGGGGGAAGGTCAGCCTTGCTCCCTGCCTGTGTCACTCAGCACCAGAGCAGCATTTGTAGGCTGAGCCACGTCTCCGAGGTTGACAGTTACGTTACTGGAGGAGGGAAGGTGCATTTGGATGCTGAGTCCTTTCCGGGAGGAGACGCGCCGAGTAGGCCTGGCACTGACCGCCTTTGGAGGGGACGCCTTGAGCTGGCTGGAGTGCGGCCACTTCTCGTGTGCACAGCGGCGTGCGTCCTGAAGTTCTGTTCCGGTGACGTCGTTGTCTTATTTTACGTCAGGGGAGGGTGAAAAGTCCCCGCGTGTTGGTATCCCAGCGAGATGTTTTCACAGGTGTTAAGTGGGGCCTTTGCTCCCTGTCAAGCCGAGTGGCTTGTGACACACGCGTGGGAATCCTTGAATTCAGGGCTTGGGCTCTGTTTGCTTTCTGTCCCCCTTCTGTCCTCTCGTCCTTCCCTTCCCCCAGATGCTCTCAGAGAGGCTCTGAGTGGGGCGGATGGACAGACACCCGGGCAGTAGCAGTGCAGTCGTGTTGTGGGGGGCCCAGCCACGGCCTGAGGGAGGTTTCCAGGGGACAGAGGGCTCTGCGTTGCCTTCTGAAGACACGATGAGAGTCAGCCAGGCGAAGGGACCAGGAGGGAGGCTCTGGTGGCGGGAGCAGCCTGGGCGGAGGCCTGGGGGCTTGTGGGGGTGGGGCTTGAGGAAGGTGCCCTGTGCTGGGGGGCCCGGGTCCATGTCCCAGGCCTCGGGGTGGAGGCTGCTCCGCCGGAGAGGACACTGCAGAGGGCCTGGGGTGCGGGACTTCGGAGGAGCTTGGGTTTGATTAGAACTGACAACAGAGGGAGGCAGCGAAGGGTGTCAGTGGGGAGTGGCCTTTGGGACAGGGTTCGTGGTTTCGCATTCTGCACAAAGAGGGGGTTGGGCCGGGCAGGAGCCCCTCCGTCCCTTTGAGACCCATCTGTCCATCTGTTTGTTCGTAACACGTGCTGCCGAGTGTCCAGGGGAGAGGAGGCAAAATGCACGTGCATTTTTGGGGCTGACAGATGTCAGAAGGTGGTCCAGCCAGAGGGTTCTGGGAGCACAGCTGGAGTGCGGAGGCCGGAGGCAGGGAAGGCCTCCTTGAGAAGCTGACCGGCACGTGAGCTGAGACCTAGAGAGCGAGGTAGCTCGGCAGAGGTGGGGCCCGCGCTCGCTGGGGTAACGTAAGGCTGCAGGCCGCAGGGGGGCAGTGGGGGAGCCAGAACTGTACTGGGGAGCCTTGAGGGGTTTGAAGTGGGGGCTTAATCAGGTTTATGCTTTGGGAAGGCCGCTCTGGGTGTGTGTGAGCATAGCCGGGACGGAGCGGAGCAGGGGGACCCAGTGGAGACACAGCGGGAGCTCGGCGGAAGGCTGTGGACGTTTCCAGGAGAGAGAGTGAGGCCGTCCGGTTGGGGATGGCAGAGTGGTATAGGTGCGGGATGTTCTTATGGGGAGGGCGGGCTTGTTAGTGGGGTGGGGGGGTGTCCTAACACTGCATTGTGGCCGTGAAGGAGACGAGGTTTCCTCTTTTCTCTCCCCTGCCACACGTGACGATCTTAGTGCAGCCAATACTGGGAACAGAAAAACTAAATTCTGGGGTCGCCAAAGAGTTTGTAGAGTTTGTTAGAGTTAGATCTGTAGAGATTTAACTTTGTACTGAGATGTGTCAGTAATACTTAGCTAGAAACTTCACGCCTTTTGGATTTTCATAGGGGTTTTTATTTTTGATACGATTGTTTTCTTGGCGAGAAAAAAATTCATATAGCTGCTATTTTTCTTGAAAAAAAATCTTTAAAGAAATTTAATATTCAAAAGAATAGGAATATTTAAAAATGATAAAGGAATATTTTGATACAATTTCTTTGGTTTCCAGTTGATACAGAGTGAGAGGCCTTTGCATTATTTAGAGCACATCCTTGCCAATATTTAAGGAGGTGGTGCCCCCGGCCCCCCCCCCCCCGCAAGGTGTTATTGCAGCTGACTCTGAAATCGTGAAGATAAAGGTCTTATTTGCAAAAGCCAGTGGCTGGCTTCTGATATGCAGGATCACTCTCTTTATAAAATAATAATAGGTTTGAATTTAAGAAAGTGGAAGAAGATTGATTTCTTAAAAAGCTGAAACATAAACTTTCTCGTGCTGACGTTACCATAGGAAAATTTGCGAGGGAAGATCCCACTGTAAGATCGTCTAAGGGAACTAGGTGGTGGAAGTCACATGCACCTCGTACCTCGAGGAAGTCACTTGGCAGGTGTTTTTGAAGTCGGGACCATTCCAGCTCACATACTGGCAATGATCGTTGCTGCCTTTCATGTACACAGCCTAAAGTTGCCTTTTTAGCTTTTTTTTTTTTTTTTTTTTTTTTTTTGGTAGTAAGAGGGTTGACTAGTGCTTGGCCAGTGTGCTTTGGGGGCAGAAGCTGTGCATTAGCAATGACACGTCTCCACGCGTTGTATTTTTCAGACATTACAAGAAGCGGTGCCAGGGGCGCATGCGGAAGCACGTGGGGGACCTGTGTCTCCAGGCCGGGATGCTGCAGGACGCGCTGGTGCATTACCACATGTCCGTGGAGCTCCTCCGCTCCGTCAACGACTTCCTGTGGCTCGGAGGTAAGAGCGTCTCATGAAGACAGCAGATGTGTAATTGCAGCAGCTGTTGTTTGCAGTGAGCGAAGACAGAACAAAGGTTCTGAAAGTGAAGGACGAGGGAGGAGAGGCGGTGGGCTGTCTGGCCGCTGTCGGGGATGGTGGGGACAGCCCTCCTGCCGTGCCTGCTGTCCCCCACTCCCCCGCCTGCCTGTACCAGCACACACTCTCCTGGATGGCGGCCGCTGTTCCGTGTTTCTCTGGGTTTGTTTGTTTGTGAGCACATCTTGCCCCTGCTAAGCCATTCCCACCATAGTCACCTCTTAGCCGCATTCTTCAAACCCCGTGTGCAGTGGGCTGGTGGACGTCAGCCAGATGTGGTGTGTCCACGTGGTGGCATGTCGTTGAGCCGTGAAAATGTGAAAAGATAAAGCACAGGGAGGATAGTCAGACATACTGTAGAGTGGTGGGGGGCGGGGGGTGACCGTGGTAAGCAGAGTGGTGACGGGGGCGGCCACAGTACCGCAGAGTGTTGATGGAGGGAGGGCGGCTGCGGTACCTACCGCCGAGTGGTGATGGGGGCAGAGTGGTGATGGGGGCAGAGTGGTGATGGGGGGCAGAGGGGTGATGGGGGTGGCCGTGGTACAACTGTCAGTGTACTAACCACTGTTGACTTGGGCACTTTTCAGTGGGTGAGTTTTTTGGTATGTGAGTTACATTTCAATTTAAAAAACTAAAGAAAGAAGGAAACCACCTACTTCAGAGGACAGCCTTTTCTCAGCCCCCCAGGCAGTGGGGGCCTGCAGAGTCTTGTACGGAGCCCCTGGTCTGTTGTGGGGCTTGCCCTTTGTGCTGGAATTGCATGTTTACACGTGTTTCTCCCTCAGGGACCATCTCCTCGGGGTGGGGTGGGACACGTGGTCTGTGTGTGTCCATGACTCAGCTTATTGTACGTGTTCCATAAATGCTTGTTAAATAAATGTGGTGCACGTAAGGAGTGAAATCAGGTTCACTGGAAAGATTAGTTGGGGGGCCTGTCAGCTACTTACGGTAAATACAAGTCCCAATAAAGTAATGAAGTAAATTCTTCAGTGAAAGTTTAGTAATGCGCTATAGAATAACGAATATAAGAAATTCTCAAAATGGACTTAAATGTCATAATTCAGTTTCTTTAAGGAGGCTAGAGATTGGTTGGTGGAAAATATCCATAGCCCCATGAGCTATGACATTAGGGCCCCTGCGGTGGGCACTTACCCAGAAAGAATGGTCCCTGCTCACGATCCAAGTGGCGACCAGCTGGGTCTGTAGATTCCTGAAGAAGGGGGTGCGCCGTGCTGTAGGCTGTTTGCCTCTTCCAGTCTCTCACGGACGTGCCGTGCGGTTTCCAGGAGGCTGCGTGACCTGCGACATCGCCACACATTGAACGCAGGAGCAGATGGGAGAACCCAGCCGTACACTCCCGGCATTCCAAGACATTCGTAAAAATGTAAACCGTGCCACCCTTCCAGCATCTATTTTTGTTTTGGAAAATAGTCATTGTTCATAAATATGTAACGTGTAATGGGATGTTGTTATTTTAAAAAGAATGAACACGTGCATATTTAAATCTTTTTTTTTTTTTTTTTAGTTTTATTTTCAAATATGGTAAATATCTGTCGATGTAACCCGCACAGAAAAAATTCTTTGTGATCCTTAGTGATTTTTCACAGTGCGGAGGGGTGTTATAACCAAAAGGTTTGGGGACTGTTGCAGTCACCGAGATGAGCACCGTAGAGCAACGTAGAAGGCCCGGGGCCGACCTTGAGGCTCATAGGCTCTAACTGCCTGCTGAGCTCCAAGTAGCTATAGCTGCCTTGGGGGAGACAGGCTTACAGGTGTTTGCTCCAAAGGAAACCGATGCGTTAGGGCATATGGTGGGGCAGGGTATTGGGGGGCCTGTTTGCTGGTCTTATTTTTGGTCCAGGGCATCCGTAACTCCCCAGCCCTGGGCATCAGGGTCTGGCACGGGGCCTGCCACATGGTGGGCGCCCAAGTGTTGGTTACAACGATGAGGAGGCTGGCCGGTTTCGCGTATGCTCAGTCTCTCAGTGAGACCCTGAGTCTCCCGACTGTCCTGTGCTGTGAGCTTCGGCCTGCGTGTGGGACAGGCAGTGGGTGGCACGCTCCTCTTTGGAACAAAACCTGCCATCTCGAGGTACCATCTTGGTTTTGGGGAAAAGTTGGCATTTGTACATAATCGAATTGTTCAGTGTTCAAATCATCCCTAGCCTCTAAAGGTGGAGCTCATGATGAGCCACTAACTTTACTGATTATACTTTTTCTTTCTTTTTTTTTTTTAACACCCAGCTGCCCTTGAAGGGTTATGTTCCGCGTCAGTCATCTATCACTATCCTGGTGGAACTGGGGGTAAGACCGGGGCTCGCAAGCTCCATGGAGGCTCACTTCCTGCTGAAGCAGCCAACAGACACCGACCAGGTGAGCTCTGTGCCTTCTCCCGCTGGGGCCCGTTTCCCATCTACGCAGGACAGTTTATGAGGTTCCCCTCTGAGTGAAATCTGACCAATGTTTAGGTAAAATACAAAATCTGTTGAGTCACAAATCTTGGACGAGATGTTTTCTTCTGATTTTATTGAGTACTGATCTTACAGAATCTTACTCTTGATGGATTACAATGATTGGTTTATTTCTGGAACACGTGAATAAAGTTTCATGGCAGACTGGCCTCAAAGTTCTGTGTCTGGGTCTTTTCCCTAATTTTTGTTTTTTTAGGGAAGTTAGCTCCACATGTCAACTTTAACAGCCAGTTCAGGGCTCGGGCTGTTCCTTAGTTTTCAGTTTGATGACATTCTTGCTCTTTTTTTTGTTTGTTTGTTTAGTTATTTATTTTGAGATAGAGCATGAGTGGGAGAGGGGCAGAGAGAGAGAGAGAGAGGGAGAATCCCAAGCAGGCTCCACACTGCCAGTGCAGAGCCCGATGTGGGACTTGATCTCATGAAATGTGGGATCATGACCTGAGCAGAAATCAAGAGTGGGACGCTTAACCTTAACCCAGGCGCCCCTGATGAAGTTCTTTTAATAAGTTCAGTTTGATTTGCTTATGTTTGTCAGCACCAGTGAGGAGTAAAAAATCTTAGAGGAGCAGACTTACAAGTGTTTGTTGAATGAACTTGACACTTTTGACCCTTAATGGAGGAACTTGTCATACCTCTTAAGTCCGAAAGATAAGAGCAAACAGTGCGGAGATCAAGGCCATATGCACAACTGAGAGGTGGTTTTTGATCCATCAGATTTTCCGACGCCTTTTCCCCCAGAGAGAAAGCCTGCGGTAGTAAATGTGTACTGGGTGGGGGAGTGACTCCGACATGTTTTGTCCTGAGTTATGCCTTCGCCTGTGACCAGCAGAGAGCGAGACACGACCTTCAGGAGCTGGTTTCCTGCGGCTGTGCGGTTTGCTCGGGTGGGTCTGTGATGGTTCTAGAACAGAAGATACTTTATCCTTCTTCAGCGCAGCATCCCAGGTGACTTCAGTCCCCTGGGTTGCTTGAGGGGAAGGGAAAGCCGGCCCGGAGGCTGAGCGAGTGGCTGTGGTCCCGGCCGAGGTCCTGGTGGCCCTGCGGTGGGGCTCCGCCTTCTTCCCCGGTCAGTCTCCCGCGTGCTGGGGGTGCCCTCTGTTGGGGTGGTGGTTTCCCTGCTGATCTGGAAAGTTCTGATGTGTTGAGACTGTTGTACTGATGCGATTAGCAAGACTTGAGACCCTTTTTAGAGAAATGTTTCATTTTTCTCCTTTGCTGAACGTAGGCAAAAAAAAAAAAAAAAAAAGGTTTAAACTTTTCGGAGTACCCAGTCTGTCTGCAGTGGAGAAGTGTCTCTAGCCTCGCGATGTGTAGACCGCTCTGGCACTCTGGCCGTTGGAGACACCGCTGGGAAGGCTGTGCGGTGAAGCCTGGGGGAGGGCAGACGGAGCAGCTGAGGACTTCACCTCCCTTCACGCAGAATAGGGTTCGGGCGTGCTGTTGCGCTTGGTGTCGTTGACAGGTGTGCCGTTTTATCCTGAAGACTGGCTCCGGATTGTCCCAGCACGCTCCTCTTGGTCAGGGGCGGGTGGCTCTGCTAGCTGAGGTGGAGACCAGACAAGCGGGTTATTTAACACTCGCCCCTGCATTTGCATCTGTTCCTTCAACAGCAGAAGTGCATTGTCATTTACTATCAGTGGGACCTGGAGCATTTAATCTCCTGGTGCTTCGGTTTCTCTCTTTCTAGAACGGGGAAGGTAGTGACAGAACTTCCCTCCTAAGGTGTCTGTGAAGGTGCCCGAGATGCACCTGTCCTAGCCGGCACTGGATAACCATCAGCGGCAACGTCATCGATAGTGTTAGGGCGAGTACTAGGTGGTTTTAGGACTTGGTGATGTGAATTACCAGTGCGGTTAGGATACCCTAGACATCTCAGATCCAGGCTCCATGGTTCTCCGGCAGGCATCCCCGGAGAAGAGGAAATGGTTTCTCTCCTAACGTTGAGTTACTACAAAAGAATTCCGTAGTCCCTGCCTCTTTTGCTTTCATTCTCCCTCCCCTCCCTTTTTTCTTTTTTTTTTTTTAACTTTCTTAATATTCAAAAGTTAGAAGCCAAAAATTCTTTTTTTCTGGAGACTTGCATGTGAACCTGTAAGTCTATAATTAATGGACAAAACTTGGTTTATTAAAAAAAGCAATAGGACATTCTTCAGTCAATGTGAAAAGAAATGCTATTGACTTGTACGTGTTTCTTCCTTGTGGTTACGTCTACTCTTTGGTCCGTTTTCCTGTGTTAACCATCACCGTCATCGTCATTATCAAAATAGCTGCGGATTCCTCAGCACCTGCGTAGGCCAGGGGCTGTGCTCAGTGCTGCCCTTATGTCCTGCCTCCCAGTGGGCGTTGGAGGGCACGTATCAGTATCTCCTTTCTGCAGGTGAGGTATTGAGGCAGAAAGAGCCGTGTGCCCCAGCCCCTGCTCGTGTGGCCGGCGAGGGCGGACTTGGGGCTGGGGCCCAGGTTGGTCTGACTGTGCAGCTTGTGTTCTGAGTCGCTCCTCTGACCAGCCGCCTATTGACTGGTTTCCTGAGCATCGGTGAGTTAATCAGTGCCACATTTTAGTGATCTCAGCCCGATGAGGGCTTAAAAGAAAAGAGATCAGTGAGGCCGTGAGAAAGAGGAACATAGATTGAAATGACATATATTTAAAAAAAATTTTTTTTTAACATTTATTTATTTTTGAGAGACAGAGAGAGACCAAGCACAAGTAGGGGAGGGGCAGAGAGAGAGGGAGACACAGACTCCGAAGCAGGCTCCAGCATCTGAGCCATCAGCACAGAGCTGGACGTGGGGCTCAAACTCACAAAGTGCGAGATCATGACCTAAGTCAAAGTTGGGCGCTTAACTGACTGAGCCACCCAGGCGCCCCTGTAATGACATAGTTTTACAATTGATTTAGACTCCGCCAACAATGTAAAAAGTTAACACTTTAGTTTTAACTCTGTAAGCACTAAACAATACAACATTTAAAATGATTACAGTGCAAGAGAGAACTGGGCTTTGAAAATCCAGCTGTCATTGCTAATGGCTTAGCCCTTGCTTTTATCTGGTGATGCTTGTTGGGAGACAAACTTAAGAAGACTGAATTGGTTTTCTGTAGCCATTTGCATGGAAGAAAAGATGAAGTTAGTGAATGTTGAGAGAAAGTAAAAACCTGGCCTCTTCGCTTTCTGTTGGTGAGCATGCAGATTCTGCGGGACTCGGGAGCTGGCAGCCTTGCTTCTTATGGCCTAAGTAGATTTCCTCACTTGTGACATTTGAGTGATGTTATTTGTGATTGTGAGAGTTAGCTACCTTGTCTACAAAGCACCTAAGAGGTGCTCAGTAAGCATTTGCTGTCACAACAGCGTAGTTTATTTCCAAGTATCAACCTGAATACTGAAGAGGGTGGTTTGTTTCTGATGCATGTTCCATACGTGTATGTATATGATAATATGAGTCTGATTGAAAGTGATAGGGACCTGATTACGTTGTTTTAGTGCGGTATGAGGCTTTGAGGATGCCAGAGTCATTCTGGGGAGATAGGGAATAGCTAAATTGCCTTAAGCTGGAGAACTTAAAGATTATTTGTACAGAACATATATTTTTACAACTTAGAATTCATGTTGCCACGTAATCATCCACTAAAACCTTTACGTTACAAGTCAGAATGCTTAGAAAACTTGCTATCAAGCTGTTTTCAGGGAATAAGCTTATCCGTTTTGTAAGTGAAGAAAATTTTGATTTTTTTCCCGTACTCTTAATAGGTTAAAACAAGTCAAAATGTTGATTTGACATCACTTTTTTAAAATGGGGGAATAAAAGGAGGAACTCATGTCATTTACTATGTAAATAAAAACATTTTTGTATTTCACCAAAGTTGTATGACTTATAGTTACCAGCTCTTTGGGAAGTAATTTGCAAGACACTTAGAGTACCTACCTACTGCTAGAAAAATACCGATGTGCCTTTTATGAAGACAGAGTTAGTATAGATCTGCTGGGTTTTGGTAAGTCCAAGATGCCAGGTCTAGGGGGAGTAAGCTTTGCCCCTGATGGCTGGAAGGACACATTCCCTGGGCCTCAGCCTCCCTGTCTGCAAAACGAAGAGGCTGGACCAGATGCCCAAGACTCCTTCCCTTTAAGACCAGTGTCCGTGAGCCTGTGTCTTGTTTATATTCCGAAGTGTTGAAGATTTCAGATCGCATGCTGAGTATGACTCGCTTCCCTGAAGCCAGATTTCACACATGCTAGCTATGCCTGTGGTTAAGGTTTTTGAGCACCCTATTTTAAAAAACCTTGTTGATCTTTTCTCTTACCATGCAGGCAATTTCTCTTGCACCTTTTCCAGCAGCGTAGAAAGCCTCTTTGTGGCCGTAGGTGGCGCTGTTGCACCTTTGAAAAGTCTTAGTCTTAATTTTCCTGTTTGTAAAAGAAGATTTAACCAATGGTCCTTTAATTTGATTTTTTTGTTTCATGTTTCAGAATAGTACAGTATCCATTCTGTCTAGGTGTTCCACTTATATCTTATTTTTATTCTGTCATCTCAGCGTGAAAACTTCAGATGTGCTGTATGAACAATGGTGAAATTGGACTTTTCTTCCAGTGTTAGAAACCAGTCAGCCATGATTTCATAAAAGAGGTAGAAGCAGTGTCTGGAGTGCCGTAAAGCTGAGGAACTCTGAATCCCCGAGGGGTAATCCGTGGAAGGTGATGTGGTTTTGGGGACCGTACCTTGTGTTTTATCCTGGGTGTCAGGGCACAGGCCGCCACTTGGCCATGTGACTGGAGTCCATTCTCTGAGTTTTCTCCTCGTCTGGAAAACGAGGATGCTAATGTCTGCTTTGGAGAATTGTGAGGATGAGAGAGAAATTATGTAAAATGTTTAGCATAGTGGTTATCTCATAAAAGAGCTTGTGAACTTCAGCTGTTATGTTGCATAAAGCCATTATCTTATAGTCTTTGGCAATTACTAAGGGATTAAAATATGAAATGATGGTTTTCTGAAGAAAGATGCAGTTAGGAAATGAGTGAACTATTTGAGGAGGGTCGGTAGTTCCTCTGGTCATAATGTAGCAGCCATCAGAGATGGGGCTGTTATGTGGTCACAGCCCACCTGAAGTCACAGAACCGTTTGTTAATTAGCATATGTTGGGGCTTAAGGAGTCCGATAATTGCACTCTTTTTTCTCCGCCAGCCACCTGGGGGATGAGATGGAGGAGTAGGCAGGTGGAGACAGATGTCCCCTTTATTACTGATGAAGCCCATTCTCCATGAGCTTTAGGGGTGCAGGAAACTGAGCCTGTTCCTACTGTATCCGGAACTGGATTGATTTGCCCAGGGGACTCTGGGCCTGAGAGGCTCTGCCCTAGTCTTCAGGACACCCCAGGGAAGAAGAGGGGTTCACATGCCCAGCTGGCCCCCCAGACTTCCCAGAAGTCACAGCATGCATGTGAGGATGACGGGCAGGGGCGTGTGGTCAGGAGTGTTGTGGGCAGAGCCCTCCTCCTGGAGACCAGAGATGGCCCCTCCCCCCACTTTCCACAGGTCACGGGGTGGAGCAGAAGGGTGCTCCCCATGAGCTTGTAAGTGGGAAAACGAGGCACCCTGGAAGATGATTAGAAGAGAGATGTATGAAATCACCTCAGTAGTTACCATTCGTTGAGCGCTGGAAATGTGCGACACTGTTTCTCAGGGCTTCCATAATGTAATCCCATAATCTTCACAGCAACCCAACAGGGTAGGCTTGATTTTTGCCCCCATTTTACAGATGTGGATATTGAGGCACAGAGAGGGTGAGCAACCTGACCAAGCTCACAGAGCTGGCATCAGAGCAGGGACCCGGCAGCGTGGCCCAGCTCCCAGAGACTGGTTACAGGTGTTTCGGGGATGCCAGCCCGTCTGCGGGTCTACGTGTGTGCCTGGCATCAGTCAGGGCTCAGCCAGGTTAGAAAGACTGGCAGAGGGAGAGTCACACAGTGTTGACCGTGGTGTCCGTGGGAGTCACCTTGGCCAGCCTTGACTGTTCGTCCAGGCAGCAAGTCTGTCCCCCTCATAGATATTTAATCCCAGTGAATCTGGGAAAATTCTGCCCCCTCCTGCGCTTCTGCCCACGCTCACCACCTAACCTTCTGCCTGTGATCAGGCCGTTGAGGCCAGGTGTGCTCTTCCCTCCCCTGTGACATGTGCACTGTGCTATTTGGTCTGATTGTTAATTTTTTTTGTCTCCTATTACATGAATAAGTTCAACCTCCACTCTTCTTCACATTAGTCTCTTATGAGTTTCGTTAATGTGCAGTCAGTCCATTGGAGCCTCATGATGCTGATAATCAAATTTCAGAGCCCATCAAGGTACTTGTACCCGTGGACCTGGTTGCAGGACAGCCCTTCTCTCTCTCACTGTGTGAGATCCTCAGACAGCACCCGTTATTCCCCTGGCCCCCACCCTTCCGAATAGGCCAGATAACAGATAGCAAAGTACTCAGGCTGCTGTTCCCAGTCAGGACACTAGTAAGTGGCTAGAAGTGAGCTAATACAAGGAAAGGCTCCCAGGAAGTCCAATTAGGTGTTAAAGTCCATTTGGTAAAGAACTGTCTATTTTTTTTTTTTTTTTTTTGTGGCTGAGCTTTTTCTTTGCTGTTTGAAGAAACTATCTGGGCCATGTGGCTTACAGACTCACATGGGATTAGATGAAGGGAATTTAAAAGGCAGACAAGGGTTGTTTTAGGCGGTCCATCCACACTGGTGAGAAGTGATAGTCCGCTGCCTGTGTGAGACATGAGACAAAGACTTTGCTGCATCGACGAAGGTAACTTTAAAAGCTCTGCAGTCGCAGTGCACTTAGTATGGGGCCCTGTTCATCACTACACGTGTCAAGAGGTCAAGTAATTGATGATTGTGATAATGACTCTGAGCTTAGGCAGAAAAAAGTTTCAGTCTCCTTCCCTGTTTAACAGATATGGCACAGTGTAATATACTTGACCAGGTTTTCCAATGAATGAGAAGTTTCTAGGGTTCTCTGGAAGCCCCAAAGTCCCCAGGGGTCCACACAGCTGACTGTCCCCTTAGGGTAGATCTTTCCTATCACAGGGAAGGGTCTTTGGGAGTGTGACGGTGGGGCACCCCTGGCTCCTCCGAGCTACGGTTTCCTCGTCAGCAGTGTGGGGTTAATCGTCCCTGTCTAATGCGTGGGGTGGCCGCGAGAATCACACAGCCACACACATGTTGTCAGGCATGTACTTGGTGTATGGTTGGTATTCGATAGAAAACACCTGTTTATTTTTATTTTTTTTAACTTTGTTATAGTCATGGCTTTTAGATTGCAGTGATTTTTTTTTTTTTGTTCTTCATTTAACGATAGAGATTGTAGTATACATAATAGCTCTTAAATAGGATTGTGGGACCTAGTCTGTATATAAACAATTGAATAAATATGCTGTTTCAATAAGACTAGCTTCTACTGGGGCAATACCTTTTTGAACTTGTTAGCATCTTTACAAATGATTGTAGCTAATGGTAAATACAACTCTTAGAATCAGTGCTTCTTCGAGGGTGTTTTGCCATCATGGGAAAGTCCATTCTCCAATTAGAAGGCTAATTGGATCTCATTGATATCCGGGCAGTTTAGCAGATGATCAAGGCTTTCAAACACTTCTTGACAATAATGAAGTTAACGGTTTTATATTGCACCTTCTAGAAGCTGGAAATCCTTAGCTTGTGAAGTGTCCAGTACTTCAGTGAGTGAGCGTGAGATTTCAGGAGGGTAGAGTTAAGTTCCGTATAACCTTCCAGTAACTTTCCAAGTTCCATTCCAAGCTGTGGGCATATATTTGCACAAAAAAAAATTACTGTTCCTTTGTCATTTGGCTTATTTGTGGGAATAAGAAATTCTCCTCCTTGGTTTAGGCGCATGGGGGAGCACGCACTTGGAAGGTGGGAGGGCAGGAGGAGGCACTTTCCAGTTTGTGCAGGGTGCAGGTGATGGCAGCTTTTCTTCCTTTCCTTCCACAGCAAAAAGGCACTGAACTTGTGACATAGTAGTTACTCAGAATTGCTCTTCTGATCAGATAGAAGTGCCTCAGAGTTTTCAAGGCAATGTGAATCGTGCAATGTGATTAGTAGTTGTCTTTAAAAATAGTTTTGTCTTCCAAATAAAAGACCATACTCTGTTCTTTCTTCCAGGGGCACAAGAAGTTCTCATTGATCCAGGTACATGATCTATGTGCTTAGTTTCTTTTGGTTCTTTTTTTAAGTGCTTGTTTCATGGTGGTGTGAGTGAATGGTTAAAATTACTGGATTATGATCTTTGGGATATTCTGATTTAAGTAACTTTAAATCAGAACTGTTAAATACTTGATTATTGTGTGGTCTTGCTTGATGGGGCACCCTGTCGATTTGTGTTGTCTGTTGAAGAGGGAATTCTTCATCTGGCATGGTTAAGTGAATGATTTGTGATGATTTAAAACTCTTTGAATGCACTGAGCATGCCTGTCCAGTTAATTGTGAACTTATTCGTGGTAATGACTTTGCTTTGATTTTGTGGTTTTTGCTCTCTCAACATGAATTTGAATTCTTTACTGCATTTTGTATATATGTTCTTAACAGAGAAAGAAATTTTGTGTTTTACAGAGGTGGGATTTTCTTTCTTAACTTCTGTAATTAATGCAGCAAAATCTCTTTTATTGCCCTGCCTAATTATTTCATAATGAGCTCTATTATTTTCTGGATTAATTAGAATCAATGACAAAAGATAAATAAAAAGAAATGAAAAAATTTCTTCCTTTGAGGAGTGGAAATCAGACAGTCATGCTAATAAATGTTTTGTGACCAGTGCATTTATTTTAATCTCATAGTGTGTCTCCATTCAGATATGAAATTGCTTCAGGTTTACAGATTTTTGCTTTAACATCTGTGTTGAATTCTTCCTCTAGAAGAGGTTTCATGATAGTTTCTTTCTTCCTTTCTTTTTCTTTTTCCCCTCCCTCTCTTCTCTCCCTCTCTCCCTCTTTTCTTTTCCTCCCTCCCTCCCTCCCTTCCTTCCTTCTTTCCTTCCTTCCTTCCTTCCTTCCTTCCTTCCTTCCTTCCTTCCTTCCTTCCTTCCTCTTAGGTTATTGAGATATAATTGATATACAGTTGTGCTAGTTTCCTGGCAGGGTTTGTAGAAGGTGTAGAGAAAGGAAAACAACTGGCTTGGTTTTCAGGAGACCTGGGTTGCGATGAGGAAATAATTTGGGGGCGGGCTGAGGAACTGAATTCCGCCTTCCCACCCCCCCACATCCCCCACCGAGAAGCTGCACATTTACATCGAAGTTGGGCGCACCGGTATTTGATCAGTAGAAGTTGTTGAATCCAATCTGGCTATTTATGCCTGATGGAAGTGCTGAGTTTTAGTGTGTCACCCATGACTTGCAGGAGTAGATGCTTACACCAAATAGAAGTAGCTTTGAGTTGTCAGCAAACCAGTCCTTTGTTGAGATAAAAGAATACATCTTTTTTTTTTATTTCTGAAGCTTTTCAAAATAAGGTTGAATGGAGACGAAATTGAGCTGAGAGTGATGGGGGTAGAAGGGGGGCCTGCGGGTTTTGTCATGGGGGACGTGTGGGGGCCCTGCTGTAGAGGGTGAAGCTGGCAGGGAAGGACACAGAAACCCTCACTGGGGGTCCGAGGGCATCTTCGGCAGCGGGTCCCAAATAGAAAACGTGGACTTGATCTTTGTTCCCAGGGGAGGGCAAGCAGCACGATGCGGCCCTGCTCTCCCCCTGCCTTCCAGGTCCTGCCCTCGTGGCCTCTGGCCTCTGCTCACGGGGCGTTGCTGCCAAGACTGACCGCAGCCTCTATCTCTCTGAGGTCTGGTCTTTCAGGCCTTAGTCCTGAGGGGAGTCAGAGCAAGTCTCCCCAAACTTGCCTCTTTGGCATGTGGACTATTTTGAATTGAAGGCAAGTGGAACTCTCTGGGATCAAGAGAAACTTTTGTTCCTCCCTTAGCTACCTAGAAGGATCTCAGTTTGGTATCTTTCCCAGAATAAGAGTTATTACCAGTGATAAATTTCATGTACATAACCCATATGGAGTGCAACTGGTGCAGCCACACAGGAGAACAGGATGGAGCTTTCTCAAAAACTACAAATAGAACTACCCTACAAAACAGCAATTGCACTATTAGATATTTACCCAAGGGAGACAAAAATACAGATTCGATGGGATACATGCACTCCAGTGTTTGTAGCAGCATTATTAACAATAGCCAAACTATGGAGAGAGCACAATGCCACTGACTGATGAATGGGTGAAGAAGATGAGGTACATATATTTACAGTGGAATAGTATGCAGCCATCAAAAGAGTGAAATTTTGCCATTTGCAATGACCTGGATGGAGCTAGAATGTATTGTGCTAAGCAAAATAAGTCCAGCAGAGAAAGACAAATACCATAGGATTTCAGTCATATGTGGGATTTAAGAAACGAAACAGATGAACATATGGGAAGCAGGGAGAAGCGAAGAGAGGGAAACAAACCACAAGAGATTCTCAATAATAGAGAACAAACTACGGATTGATGGAGGGAGGTGGGTGGGGGATGGGCTAGATGGGTGATGGGCATTAAGGAGGGCACTTGTGATGGGCACTGGGTGTTGTAAGTAAGTGATGAGTCACTGAATTCTACTCCTGAAGCCAATATTGCACTGCATGTTAACTAACTAAAGATTTAAAAAAAAAAAAAAAAGGAAAGAAATGACCCATCTGTATGGCAGGGCATATATCGAATTACCACACATGTGCTTTTCTTCTTACTGCCCTGGGAATTGTGCCCCTCCCTGTTACAGCCCAGGCCTGTCCCATTCCTTAGCTCAGGATGTCATGGGTTCGTCATTTTGCCTTTCTGTCTTTGTACCTCATGAACGTAGGGTTCCTGAATGTATGAAATTAAATTTGATTTTCTGTTGATTTGTCTCATATCAGGGGAACTTGGGTGGCTCAGTCAGTTGAGCGTCCAGCTTCAACTCAGGTCATGATCTCATGGTTTGTGAGTTCGAGCCCCACATCAGGCTTGCTGCTGTCAGTGCAGAGCCTGCTTTGGATTGTCTGTCCCCTCCTCTCTCTCTGTCCCTCCCTTGCTCATGCTCTCTTTCTCAAAAATAAATAAACCTTAAAAATATTTTTGTTTTATGTCAATTTAATTCTTAGACCATCCAGAAGAACCTTTGAAGGGTGGAGAAAAATTTGTCCTCTGCAACAGTTTCTTTTTTTCTACTTAAACCCTGGCAAATGTGTTGGGAGGGAATCACTTCATAACTCCTAGGAGCAATGTAGTATGATTCTTCTTCGTCTCTAAACTTTTCTGAACAGCGAACATTCTCTCTGGGGCTATAGAATCATTCAGCTCCCTAGAAAACCCATCCACATGAAGTCATGACAAAATTGCATCACTTCCATTTTTTTTTTGAAATTTAAATGGATATCCTATTCAAAGCAAACTTTCAGATTTTTTTTCTACCTGCTTTTCCTTCAAGTATCTGGAAGGCCAGAAGGAAGAGTGTGACAGTGCTTGGTGCTTGGTCTGGTGTTTATTTTAGGAACCAAGCTTCTCCTCAAATGGTGCCTGGAAAACTGGACAGCGACATGCTGAAGAATGAACCTGGACCACTTTGTTACACCACATACAAAAATAAACTCAAAAATGGAGTTTTTGACCTAAAAAACTAAAAAAAAAGTTTTTGACGGTTTAGAAGCCGTCAAAATCCTACATAAGAAAACAGGCAGCAACCTCTTTGACCTCGGCCATAGCAACTTCTTACTTGACATGTCTCCAGAGGCAAGGCAAACAAAAGCAGAAATGAACTATTGGGATCTCATCAAAATTAAAAGCTTCTTCACAGCCAAGGAAGCAACCAGCAATACTAAAGGGCAGCTGACGGAATGGAAAGAAGATATTTGCAAATGACATAGCAGATAAAGGGTTAATATCCAAAATCTTTAAAAGACTTATCAAACTCAACACCCCCAAATCAAATAATCCAGTAAAGAAACGGGCAAAAGACATGAATAGACACTTCTCTGAAGGAGACATCCGCATGGCTAACAGACACATGGAAAGGTTCTCAACACCAGTCATCATCAGGGAAATACAAATCAAAACCACACTGAGATACCATTACACACCTGTCAGCATGTCTAAAATTAACTCAGGAAACAACAGATGTTGGCAAGGATGTGGAGAAAGGGGAACCCTTTTGCACTGCTGGTGGGAGCACAAACTGGTATAGCCACTCTGGGCTATGGCCACACTACCTTATGACCCAGCAATTGCATTACTGGGTATTTATCCAAAAGATACAAAAATGCTAATTCGAAAGGGCACATGCACCCCAGTGCACTATTGACAATAGCTAAAGTATGGAAAGCGCCCAAATATCCATCATATGTGTGTGTGTGTGTGTGTGTGTACATATGTATATGTATATATACACCATGGAATACTCCTCGGCCATCAAAAAGAATGAAATCTTGCCATTTGCAACAATGTGGATGGAACTAGAGGGTATTATGCAAAGTGAAAAAAGGCAGCCAGAGAAAGACAAATATCCTATGATTTCACTTGTGGAATTTACGAAACAAAACATGAACATAGCGGGGAGAGAAGCAAAAGTAAGATAAAAACAGAGAGGGAGACAAACCATAAGAGACTCTTTTTTTTTAAATTTATTTATTTCTAGGAGAGAGAGAGAGAGACAGCGTGAGCAGGGGAGGATGAGAGAGAGGGAGTCACAGACTGAAAGAGGCTCCAGGCTCTGAGCTGGCAGTCAGCACAGAGCCCGACGCGGGGCTCGAACCCACGAACCGCGAGATCATGACCTAAGCGAACGTCGGACGCTTAACCGACTAAGCCACCCAGGCACCCCGTAAGAGACTCTTAAATACAGGGAACAGGCTGAGGGTTGTTGGAGGGGAGGCGGGTGGGGGATGGGCTAGACAGGTGATGGGTATTAAGGAGGGCACTTGCTGGGATGAGCACTGGGTCTCATATGTAAGTGATGAATCACTAAATTCTGTTCCCGAAATTATTATTACACTATATGTTAACTAACTTGGATTTAAAAAAAAAAAAAAAAAAAGAACCAAGTTCTCCTTCAGTCATTTCTAGCAGCTAGGCTTCCGAGCCCTTGATCTGCACCAAAAACAGAATGCTTCCTTGTGTCAAACCGCTTTTT